CCGCGTATGAACATGGAAAGACTTGTCTTAAATTTGGTTGTATACGTGTCACTGTTCCGTAAGTTGGGAGGATATTGAATAAACGTACTTTATAATTTTCGATTTTGACACATACATACATGATACATCTAGCAGGTTCAATTAGTTGCTGGTAAGCACCGAAGAAAAAATCACAAATGATAATTGTACGCAAAGACTTAAACGAATTGACTGTAATATCTATCCACAAAAGAAATATTCCTTGGAGATCAAATAAAATATAATCAATATAAAAATGGTTGATTCAACGATCAAAATGGATATGTCTATAATAGTCCGAATAAAAATATCAAAATTAGTGTCATCTCCACAACGAAAACATGCAGTTATATTAAAAGACTGATATCTAATGTTTGAAGTTTGAACAATCTATGAGTTTAGAAGAAAAAAAAACACACACAAAGAAATAAATAAAATACTACTATCCATAAGACCATAATTATATTTTCACTAATAAATAAAAAATTTCACTAATTACTGATTAGGTGTGAATTTCTGAGTAGAAAAATGGTGAAAAGAAAAAGAAAAAAAATTACTATCCATAAGAACATAATTACATTTTGTGCGAATAAGAACATGTACAATGCTAGATACATGTTTTGTGTTCTTAAGACATATTTTATTATTAATTTAGGATTATGATTGGTTAAGAACCAATTTTGTGTTCTTAATTTACAATGGTGGAAACATGTTTTGTGTTGTTAACAAAATTTAAAAATTTAAAATTTTGAAATAAAATTTAAAATTTTGAAATAAAATTTATTTTAGATAGAAACATAGATTACATGAAAACATTTAAACCATAAATTTTCAAATCATTAACGAAAAAGAACGGTGAATTCTAATATTGACGTTGATGTGAATCCGCTGATTATAAGACGATTTCATATGCTTCCATACCAAATCGACTATCTACGACTCGATTCCGTCATGATTTGAGGCGAAAAATCGTTCGATTTGGTCGAATCTATGAAGATTTCAAATTGGAAGTCGAAAC